TTATTTATTTAAAGTAGTGTGTCACGCACGTTTTGAGAAGCTGAAATGTGCATTCATAGAACTCGTGGTCCATGGAGCTAACTGGTAGCCAAAGCAATCAGATGGTGCTTAGGAGCCTATTAGTCCAGCTCTTTGCTATTGCACTGTGTCACAATGGTGAGTCCTTCAGTATCTGTCGCTTGCAATCCTGCCAGCATCTCAGTGCATGAAACGTCAGGAAAACATTTCTGGGGATGCTGCCAATGGGAAGGGCTCTGTGCGCTCAGCCCTTTCCCCCTCTCTGATGGCTCTGTGGCTCTGTCTGTGATCACTGCTGGGGATCAGGGCTCTGTGCCAGCCGGGGAGGGAGGCACACGTGGAGGGCAGATGGGTGTGCTAGCAGCCTTTTGCCCCTCTCATCCTTCTGGGCTGCCATGCTCATTACCCAACTGATCCTGCAACCACTTAACATATGAACCCTCTTAAAAGGAACTGTTAGACTGATAGGTTGAGTGAGCTCCCACTGACATTACACAGAAAATGCTTTGAAAAACATTCCAGAGCCCAAATGAGTTAAAAAGCAATTTATGCATTTTGAAAGCTGCTCTGAAGGGGAATATAATATTTTTTTATTGTTCTGCTGAAAACATATGCTTAAAGAGATGTTTCAACCTGAAACAGGCAGCATGAGAGCAGGTGGCAGCTTTGGGTGTCTGGGCACAGCTCCTCTTGGTGGTTGGAGCTCTTTTGCTGGCAGGTGAAGGGTCTGCTGCCTTGAGCTGTCCCAGAGGTGCTCCTGGTTCACTGTGGTTGGTCACAGTCAGGTTTGCTCAGTTTAAAGTGTAATTGTTCAAAGCTACAGTCAAATACAAACCCTTCAATCAACTGTTTTATTAGATTGCAAAAACCCAAAGTTCATAGAACCACAGAATAATTTATGATGGAGGGGTCTCTGGAGGTCACCTGATTCATTTTCCAGTCAGATTCTGAATATCTCCAAAGATGGATATTTCACAGTGCCTCAGGTCTTTTCCATTGCTTATCTTATTGTGAAAATTTTATTTAAACCACAGCTGCATAACCACAAAAGTGCAACATTCCCATATTTACCTATTCTAGTGCCCTTCTCTGTCAGGCGGAGCAGGAAAGCTAGTAGGAAGTAAATAGGAGCCTTGAAATGTGACTGTAACCTGGACTCAGGAGGATATTAGAGTTTATATCAGTATAGATTATTTCTTATTTCATATAGTTCCCCAAAAGGCTTTTGACTTTTCCTGCTTAAACCTCTGAAATTGAATCTCTAATAGCTGCATCAAGATTCTTAAATACTCCATGAAAAAAAAAATCCAAATCCACTCTTTATTGGAAGGGAAAAAAGCAAGAGTATTTTTGGGGAGGTCATACCTCGTAGAAAAAATATACAAAATCCTTCGAGGCTCTTGCTTGTGGGTGACCTTTTGTCTATTTTGGCAAGTGGTCTTAACTTATTTTCTGATTTTTCTATCTATTCCCTAAGGAAAGCTCACAGTCACTGTAATCCTGGACATTCTGTGCTTAATAGGTAGTGTAAAAAAACCTGATGAGGATGTAGAGTAACACCTGCGTCATCACTCATACAAAGGACACTTTTGTGAACTGCATTTCTGTGAGGACACAAAATTCAAAGGGGAACTTGAACGTGCATTTTGTGTTCAGAGGAGGAAAAACGCGCTTCTTGCAAGTCCTGAATCCTGTCCTCTCATTGAGCTGCTCCCCAACACTTTCATGTTCAAGGGTCCTTCCTTCTTTCCCTGTCCATATTGTCTGGTCTGCCTCCTGTCCCAGCCTGACTGTTATTTGGGCAGCAGCAAGGAGAAGCCCCAGCTTGTGCGTGCGTGCCCCTGATGGAGCGGCATGTTCAGATGGTGGCGTTTGTGCCGCAGGTTTACGATCGCTGCATCGATCGGTGTCTCCATTTAAATGATTTATCCTTGCTCTTGGCTTGCTGTGAGCTTTTCCATGAGCTGCAAGGAAAACTGATTTTATATATGTGTTTTTAGCAAGTTACTCAGCTTGTTACTCATGTTATCTGAAGGAAATGGGATAAGAGCTGGGAAGTAGCGTGTTGGGTGCCAGGGCACGTGCAGGACCTGGAGCTGTCCCAAAGGATTGTGTGGTGGGGGTGGCTGGAGACCTCACTCCCTCTGCCGTGCGGTACCAAAGCCACGCCTGGCTCTGAGATCTGTCAGCAGCCTGCTGAGAACTACTATGTTGGGAAGGATCAGTTGCTGCAGGTTTTAGAAAGCACAGAGTTTGGAGTATTTAGAAGTCTGTCATTGAATCAAATCCCCAGGGAACAATCAATTTTTGGTATATCAAAATAAGTATATTTTGCTTATGTAATCAATCCTTGGATGATAAATACTTTGTCATCCATTCCAGGCAATTTACTTCATTGATTGGCATCAAATAGATATTGTATGGTCAATATAATTTTCATACCTCGCCTTTAGCTGCAGTTTCACCTACTTTTTAAAATTTATTAAAAACTATAGTTCAGTTTTCCTTTTTATTTGAACTCAGAAGCCTCATTTTGTTCTCCTGATTAAAAAGTATGTTGTCAAGACTAACCTGGAGTTACGTAAATCAATAATGCTACACAGAAAACGAGAACAAATTGTACCTCTTATTTGCATAATGGACAAGATCTAAAATGAATTCCTCAGGTTAATGAGTGTCCTCAGGGTTGTTTGTGAGAATGTACAGCCTTCTGTGACACCAGTGTGCTACTGATTGAAAAGTACTGCTCAGAGTCAAAGAAAAGAGGGAAAAAAAAAATCAGGAGCAATCAGGTTGGGGGACTCCATACTAAGCTTTTAGCTTTAGTGCATTGATTTTTGGATGCCTGCATTGAGCTTCACTATAAGCTGAGGATACAAATTCAGATTTACCCTTGCTTTGAGGTTCAAACTCAGCCTAATCTCACCTGGGGTTTTGGCTAAAATGCAGCTGAGTCCCCAGGTTTCTGTCACAGTGACATAAGGTTATCTTTGTCTTTCTCAGAAAGAGAACAGTGCTCCCCAGAGGGAAGGGAACACGAACACCCACTGCAGCGTTATGCAGCTTGGTTAACTCAGAAGAGTCTGACTCTTACATAAGACAATCACGGGGCCAAAAATTGCTAGAAGCATGCAGTTACAAGAGCATTAAAATGTCTCATATTTCCTATTCTGTTTCAGCTCCATTACCTTTATCCTCTTATTCCAGGCAGTTAGCCTCCTCTTGCTCCTATTAGCTTGCTGTGAAATGGTAACATGGCTGGAGGAGCACAGAATACTGCCACAGGTGGCCATTCCTGCATGGAAAGGAGAATGGATAGGAGGAACCTTGCTTTGGCCGGAGTGCTCTGCAAATGGAATTGCTTTTGGAAGCTTGTAGTGTGACTGCAGTTGTATATGCGTTTATGTAGGTGGCAAGAGGGGATTCAAGGCAGAAGGGAGGGCCTATTACCTCCCCACCCAGCGTAACATTTTTTATTCCAAACAGGAGGAAGCTGGTGCTACTCAAAGTTCAATTGAAAATAAACAAAACAAGTGTTTTGTTCTTAAGCCTTACTGATAATGAACTATAGTAAATGAATTTTACCTTAACTATACTGTGGAAAGGTCATAAACTACTGAAGAAGGGCTTCTACAAAAATTAAATTACACGTTAATACAGTTCATATAATGTGAGAGAATTGACTCTATAGATCAACCACTGCACAATGACTCTTGCTTTTTCCCTGTTCAACGTGGACCTTGAATATAGCACTATAAGGGATGATCTTCTTCAGAGGATTGTTCTGAAGAAGGAAAAGTTCAATGGTCAAGTGAAGAAGGTGTTTTCCAATTAACAGTACAGTGACTCGTGGAGATTGGGGCCACTCTTTCTTCTTTCTGCTTCAGGACTCGAGCTGGAAAGGCACCTATTTGCAGTAGGACTGCTGCAGCCTGGTTCCTGTCACTGGTGCCCTGACAGACCTCTCACCTGTGCAGCAAGTCTCTGGGAGTTCAGAACCAGACAGGCTTTTTCATCTGCTGAAACATTTCCTTGCTGAGAAATAGGACTTGCTATACTGGGAGTCAGCAGGTGTATTGTGCTGGTTTATGAGGTCTACTCTGTTTTTCTGTACAGGCAGAACATTAAGTAAACATTTATTTTTTTATTTATATAAAGAATATTTTTTATTTAATTTACCATACACACCCACAGAGTTACATCTTTGGGTTTCTTTTCTGATTTTTACATGGCCTTTTTTTCTGTGTAACACCCTTCTTCCAATTCTGTTGCATCTTGCCTATGATCTATAAAGCTAAGAATTATGGAAAAATTCCCAGGGATTTGTAACTTCTGAAAACTGAATCCTACTGTAGAAACTTAGTGAATTAAATTGCCCCAATGCTTATGGTTTTGAGAGTTTTGAAGCCTTCTACATAGGGGAAAAAAAAAAAAGAAGACATTAAGTAAGGAGAAGTTGTGCAAGCTGAACCCAGCAGAGCTGCTGTGCTTTACCTATCATTCTTCAAAAGGTGTTTGATCCTTAGATAAAACATTTGTTAATACTTTCAAGATTTCAACGTAACATCTTTAAAGATTTTCTCTTTTTCTACAGTAAAAACCTAATAATATGTCATAATTTTACTTAAGTGTTAAACTTCTCTCAGTATCTGGAACTATTCACCCTAGGCATTCAATAACAACAGTGTAACACAGAAATCCTGAATCAGGAAGTAAGAGGATGAAATAAGGCTGGGGTAAATGAGTTGAAGGTTTAGAATAATTTCAGATTGATTTAACTCCCTGACTCTCTGCTAGCAACATGAAAAAGATAATCTTTTCATGTCATTGATAGGCAAATTTTGGGAAATGCTGAATGCAGGGCACAGAAAATAATTAGAAAGAGAATTAAAAGATGAAAATGTTCTTTCAGATATAAAATCATGTTATTGGGTAAACTAAGGTTCTGGAAGCCTTATTCTCTCTCTCTCTTTTTTAATCAGTTTGCAGGAAATGGAGCAAAGCAAAGCAAACAGAAAAGAGTGGCAGGGTGTTAATTGCAACCTGATAATTAAAGTGAAGCATAGTCAAGGAACAGATATCCTCCCAGCTTTCAGCATGAAAATGATGATGGGCAGCATCTCTGGACGCTCAGCGCTGTTTTGATAACCCTGGGAAGCTGCTGCAGGGAGAGCCTCAGTGACACACAAGTCTGTGTCTGAGAACACACATTACCAGGTGGGGAGTTCCATAAAACTGATTTTTTTAATTGATCATCTTGTTTTTTTTCCATCTCTGCCTTGGTGTCTGGGCTGTTGATGGGTAGGAAATGGAAAGGATGAGCTCCCTTGGTGATAAAAAGCGTGGGCGAGCAGGCGACGGTTGCAGGGTAATGGCAGCAGTGCCTTGTGTCAGTCACAGATGAGTACTGAGAGATTAAATAGATTAAATGAGAATAAATGTAAACTAATTGAATTCAGTGATATAGGAGAAGAAATCAGAGGAGTATAAAATTAGGCTCAAGATGGGCATTATTATTTTACTTTTTGTCAGCTCTCTTTTTGGCTTGCCAGAGTCAGGAGCTTTTTGAATCAGAAGTGAAAACAAAACAAGAATACACTCTGAAAGAGAATGAAATACTTACCTGTTTTGCAGGTTTTAGTTTTTTTTCTTACAACAAAACAGTTTTGCAGAAGGTTTGCAATGTTTTAAAAAGATTATGCTTTGACACCATCTTAGACTGAAGTTGCTTGGATTTTCTCCATATTTTTAGGTAAGATGACCTAAAATTTGAGTTTAGAGTCTCTCTTTTCAAGTTATAATGTTCAGAAGAGTGATGAACTGTGACAATACAACTGGGATTAATTTTCTAGATTTTGTTCTGGCTCACAGAGGTGGTGGTTAAACTCCCCTTCTCCTGACATGACCTCCCCACTTCAAGCATGTGTGTTTTATGGAAGAACATAAATTTGTGAACTCATGAGTTTATATCCAGTCAGCAAAATGGACCACTAAACTTAGGAACAGTACAGAAAATAAAATGGACATGAAAGTCTAAAGAGCATAATGGGGAGAAGGAAAGTTTTAAAATAATCAGAACAAATTGAAAGCCAAGTATGTGTTGTGTTTTTCTGGGCCTTGTATTTGAGAGAAGAACTGTGAACTTGAAGCAGAGAATGAAGGGTTTGATTTGAATATGAATGTCTCTCAGGGTCTTAGCAGCATGAAAGGGATAATTTTAGCAGCAGCTTTTGAATAGAGTGGTTGGGTACAAGCTGAGATATAAGTAGGCTACACAGGCTATAGCTAAGATCAAGGATAAGGTAAGGAAAAACCACAAAAAGCAGGTGAAATTCACCTGTGTGCAAAAAAAGTCTTGCAGAAGCATGCATGGCTTTCACTGATACCTGCATCCTGGTTTGTAAATTTTATTGGAATACCAAGGGTTTGGTTGGCAAACAGATTTCTCTCAGGTAGAAGGTATGTTTTATGGTATCCACTTACAGGCACAGTACCTGAGGGGGCTTGGTGAGCATCTGAAACATAGGAGAGGTTATTAGGGTTGGGGTTCAGTTGAGACTTCTCACCAGATGAAGGGATTTGTAGTAAAGATGAACTTTACTATGTGGAGTCAGAGGTTATGGCAGGGTGCCCAAGAGAAGGGGAAGATATAGCCAGCATTGTCTAGACTCAATAACAGGCTTAAAAGATTTTTTCACACCTGAAAGCTTGTGCTGTAGAAGTAAAATATCGAAACAAATGCAATGATTAGTAGAGCAAACCAAAACAATATGAAGTGTCTAGCACTTTTTCCTCTTTTCTAACAAATTCTTTTTCAATTCCTCAATGATGAATTTTTTTCAGAGGAAAATACCATACAATTAAAGTTTAGTAGGCATAGATGAACATTGAAAAAGGCATGCACTGTAAAAGACTTCAATAATGTTTACAGCCAACCCATTTTGCAGATAAAATACTTTTCTCTACTGCTTCAAAATTTTGTCAGAGGCACTTCACTTTTCTTGGTATATAGAAATGTTTATTATCTTTGATTTGAAAACAAACTAACAAAAGCCTTTTTCTTATTCATATTCAGGTCTTACTTTCATCACAGGATATTTAAAAATCTGGCATTGGCTTTAGCAGAGGAAGGAATGAGCTCTTTTCAACTCAGTTGGAACACTTGCAAGTTTAGTAGCTGATATAGCTTCCAGGACCTAAGGCCTTACTTTACAGGTAATGGAATCCATTAAATCCCACCATATATCGTAGAATGATTTTCATATTTATTAACAAAGTAACCATGGATAATTGGGTTGTTTTTTGGGTTTTTTTGACTGATGAGACTCAGGTATTAAACTGATCAAAAATGAGAGAGGCTAAATTAATTTATAATGTAATGAAGTGAAATTAATATTTTTTATATAGGACTGTATGCTGTGTATTTGAGAACACTCCTTATAAATATCAGTGACCATAACGGGTTCTTTCTCACCTCTTCATTATTCCAGCCAATGTTGCTTATTTTTTTCATGAAGCACGTAGAAATTGAATATATTGAGTGTTCCTCTACCTTGTAATATTACTTTATTGTCTATGATGCCATGCATTTATCACATGTTTATGATCTCATAAAATGGTTTAGGTTGGAAGGGACCATAAAACCATCTGGTTTCAGTTCCCCTGCCATGGGCAGGGACACCATCCACTGGACCAGGTTGTTCAGACCTGGCCTGGAACACTGCCAGGGATGGGGCAGCCACAGCTTCTCTGGGCAACCTGTTCAAATGCCTCAACACCCTCACAATAAAGAATTTCTTCCTAATATCTACTATAAATCTACTATATCTCTTTCAGTTTAAAGCCATTCCCCCTTGTTCTATTAATATGCATCCTTGTAAAGAGTCCCTGTAGTTGGCATCCTCCAGGTACTGGAAGGTGCTCTAAGGTCTCTCCAGAGCTTTCTCTTCCCCAGGCTGAACAGCCCAGCTCTCTCAGCTTGTTTTTGTAGGGGAGATGCTCCAGCCCTCTGATCATGCCTGTGGCCTCCTCTGGACTTGCTTCAACAGGTCCATGTTCCTCTCTGCACTGGGGACCCCAGAGCTGGACACAGCACTGCAGGCTGGGTCTCAGAGCAGAGGGGCAGAGTCCCCTCCCTGCCCTGCTGCCCACACTGCTTTGGATGCAGCCCAGGCTGCAGTTGGCTCTCTGGGTGGCAAGCTCACATTGCTGGGTCATGTTCAGCATCTCAGCCCCCAGGTTGTCCTCCCCAGGGAGAAATGTGAAACGTCCACTAATTCAAATACATTTTGGCAACAGATGGTATTCTTCAAGTTAGATATGCTTTCAGTGTAAAGTAAAATAGATGGGAAGATAATTTAGAATCAGCAGTCGTATTAGAATGTACCACCAATGAATATGCTTGAAACTCAGTAGAATAGGGTTACATTTTCCCCCACTAAAAATAATGAGATCTGCTTTGAAATTTCTGGCTCAAACTAAATTTCAGTAAATAACCAGGCAACAGAAAATTAGTCTAGTTTGCAACTTTCCTCCCCCATTGTTTTTCAAATACCACAAATAAATTTTTCATTCAGAATTTTGGTAAATTTAGGATCAGAAATTTGGAGAGCTTTCACTGATGATACAAATATGTGAGCTATTTCAAAACCTGAAAATGTGTTTGTGAGTTCTGTAAAAAGGAACAATTGAATGCTGAACTCTAAGAAAAATCTGGCCAGGATTTTGTGTGCCAAGTGTTCAAGAATCTTTTCCTTAAAGTGTGTAAAAATATACACTTATCAAAGCCAAAAAATTTGAAAATCATTGAAAGTATTATCCCCTCCTCCTTCATGTTTTTGTCGTCTTCGAGTCTGAGAAATTCAAAACCACAAGCAGGCAAACCACCATTTATTGAAATGTTTTTACGTGGCATGTTGTGATGGGGGTAATGTCATGTCCTACAATCAACTAGCAGTGGAACTTCCAAAATCTCACCTCATCTGAAAAGGCTATTAAATTATATAAAAAATTATAAACTTAAGAGACTTGGAGAAGCAGAGCTATCACATACAGATGCAGGTTAGAGATTTCTTTATCCTTGAGGTGGCTACTAATTCCTGGTTTGCACTAGGAAGCAATTATTTTTGTATTATTTATCTATTATTCTTATTAGAATTTAGCTCATTTAGCTAGACAAAATATGTATTCTTGTTATTTAATATAGTCCTTCAGAAAAAGAAAATTTGACTGTTTTTTCATGATAGTTTTAGTAAGAGGCATATTATGACTTTTGAGCTGTGCATCAGATATTACTGGAGGAGAGATGGAGCTGAGGCGATGTTTCCTACATGTCAGTAGCAGAAGTTCTGATTTCACTGATAAAGGAACTGTAGTGTCAGCTAAATGGGCTTAGAGCAAGTTGGTTCAGGTCAAATGCACTGCAACTATCAGCAGTCTGAATCCCAAAGAAAGAGGAAAATAAAGCCTTAAAGCATCAGAAGCCTGTGGCTGAAGCACCTTTTCTCTAGTTTTAGTCTTTAACTGTAAGCACATATATAGGAAACTAGTGGATACAGAGGCTTCCCTGAACTTTCTTATGGAATAGTTTAGGTTGAAGAGAAGATTCTTCAAGTAGAAGAGAAGATACTTCAAGTAGAACATGGCTCAATTTTTCTAGAAGTTTTGCTGATTGAACACTGTTATTAGTTATATATGAATGAAACTTAGTTTATTTTGTGGTTTTTCTAGGTTTACATCACCACAGATAAAGAACAAACCGAATCCATTGTCCAACTTGTCCTTTAAACCTTTTATTGCTGAATTCAATAGACAGCTTTCTGATTCTGATGATAGAACCAAACTCCTCCCATCTAGAATGTTAAACAAGGATAGCTGAAAATAACTGCAAGTGTGTTAATTGTCCTTTGAGGATCTACAGGGAGAGAGACTGAAAAAGAGCATTGAAAAATTGGAAGAATTAAGTTAGTGTCTGGAGTTGAACATATATTAAATATATATATTTTATTATTTCTTAAAACTTTTGGATTGTCTATTTAATGTGTTGTAACTACAGTATAACCTCTTCTAGATTTTTTTGGATCAAAAGTAGTGAGGAAGAAATAATAAATACAAGGAGTAAGGGATCTTTTAGGCAGAGTAAAGAGATGGAATTAGAGCCACTTGCTTTCTTTATGTTCATTTGTTCCTATGGTTCTTCCTTTCAGAAAGTGCTTGTATGCAGACATCAGGACAGTAAGTCTCATGTAAGTCAGATCTCGTTACAGCTCCTCATACTTGGCTTCAGTCTGCCAAGTGTTCTTGACAGCTTTTAGAAACTTTAAATAATTGTGAAGGAAAATTGAAGCATCAGCCATCAGTATGAAACAAGAATGTTTCATTTTTGCTGCATGTTTGCCCATAGGTTTTGGAACCATGTTTTTTATGTATGCTTTGTTTGATGGAGATATTTTATGGAGATATTCAACTGACTAAGGAAAATCCATACCGCAACCTAGAAAAAAGTTTTCCTATTACACTTTGTTTTGCAATTGGCTTTCATAGATTTTTGTTGCGGGAAGCTTATTCATGCAACCTAGTATAGATTTCACATGCTTGCCATGTTTAGACAGCAAGGTTCAAGTTATTACAGAGATGGGTAGTAGTATAAATCTTCTGGCAGTGACCTCCTCTAGTATATTCTGTATATACTATGTATATTTGCATTGTAATAACTCCTTTATTAATATCCAGGGAAATAAAAATTAAATCAGCATGAGATCTGTTTAAAAAAAAAGTGTGAGATTGCATCCTTCAAGGATCTTTCATCATTATTTTAACAGGAAGAGATACTATGCGAGATATGGATAGTACGTGTAGGAACAAAGGATATTTCATCTCTTACTGAAATCTTCTCAGCTTTGGTAACTCCAAAACTGAACAGGACCTTTGTAGCTGCATTGTTTGATGATATTTCCATAACATTTGTGGCTGTCCAACTTTGTTGTGAAATGAAAGTCAAGAAATCTGACTGAATGCATTGTTAACTTTCAAGAGCCTACATTTTCCTTCTGCAAAAACCTGTGACATTTTGGTCTGTAAACGTCCTTGTCCTTAAACTGGGGCAGAAAGATAGGGACAGGAAAGGAACCTAAAGGATGACTGTAATTTAAAGGTTTTCCTGGAGACGATGAGCAAGGCACTGTTTGGTCTGCCAGAAGCTGAAATCAAACAAATGATTGCTTTAACATGTTGGGTGTGATTTCATTCCATCATCATCAGCCAGATGGAAAACATACTGACAAGCTTTGAGTGACCAGTGACAGGATCCAAAGGGCACTGTGGTCACAGTACGGTTAGCTGGCACAACAAGGACACCTTAGATAACTAGTCATGCTACTAGTGTAGTGCATGAATTTTTGAAGAATTAACATTGGTATTAATTATGATATTTTTGATAAATTTTTTTTAATGTCCAGCTTTTCTAGAATGCTCGTTTTAATATTGTATATTGTGTTTGCTCTTTTTATTGTATTTTAGAGTCACATTCTGTTGTGTGACTGTCCAGGTGGGTGGAACTACAGGCTGAGTTGTTTGGCTTTAAATGCATAATGAAAATGCATACTGAATTTATGATGTGTTTCTCAATGATTAAATATTGAAGTAAAGAAGGAAATAATATGTTAAAAATTATTGTAATCTTCGTACTTGTACATTTTTGTGAAGATGATGATTTGTTTTTTGATGGTATTTGAGATTCTTGTAATTATTTTGTGGGCTTTCCCAGCTGCCCTAATACCAAGCTCCTTTGCATTTTCCTCATTCCATAGGTGCTCTAGGGAATACTCTGTTTCACAGCAAGCGTGTGCCTCCCTGGCTGTACTGTGGAAAGAAGCATGCATTATGATTTCTTTTGTAAAGTCCATGCATTTGATCGTGTAATGAGGTCGAGGTGTTCCTCACAATGCTTTTATAGCATGATACCCATGACCTGATATGCCCTAGAAGAGAGAAAGAGGTAGTTAACTATTTATTAGCTCTCTCTGTATATGCAGCAGGAGATTACAAGCAGTCACCACTTTATTAAAGCAGTCTCAGCTGATCATTCAAGCCTTTTATTTGCGCATTAAAGCAAGACCGGAACATTTGTAGTTATCCTTTCCTAGACATCCTCTTCAGATCTCTCTCTTCTGGGAGACTGGAGCAGTGTGGGTTTTGCCCCTTGGCTTAGACCTCTG